AGTCTAAATTTTTTTAGATGTGACATTGCTTACCTCGCAGAAGAAAGATTAAAAAAATGATTTAATATTAACTTATCTAATTAACTAAATATTATGAAAGGTTAAAACTCTGACCTTTTAACGAATGCAAAAAAAAAAGAATTAAAAAGCGCTTTAACTATGGATATACGTATGAGATGAAAACGACATGAGAAAAAACAAAAAAAAGTTATGTTACAATATTAATTTAAGACAGTAGTTCGAAATGCGAACTACTGTCTTAAACTAATATTATAAAGCATACAGAATGAAAAAGCATACACGTGCGTAATGATATATATATATATTGCATTTTCTATGTCAGACGGATTATATCATGGTCATTGTCTCATCAGTCAGTCATCGCTCATCTCATTCAAAATAAATTGACTGTCATTATTGTTCTTTTTCTGATTCAATGTCTGTTTACGTAGGAGTCGGTCCCTGTGACGATTATTCTTCTACTCTTGCGATATAAAATCGGTCACTTTTGTAATGCACCTCATGGATGGTTATTTTACTTTTTGTTCCATTGACGAGGGTAAGTGGGAGAAGCATTAAACCCCGTCTATTTCACATCCCACCACCTTTTGTTCCACGTCCTGTCCCGTCCCACCCTACTTATTTTTTTCTTTTCCGTTCCGTCTCGTCCTGGGACGGGACGGGATTAATCCCGTGTCCCGTCGCTCTCTGGTTCAAATCAAGCGAGAAAAATAATTGAAAATTACCAGACGCGAAATAAATCATAAGAATTATTTCTCAACTTTTAAGATATATAGTTTATTTAAGGGATAATGAGGTCGTTACGCTAAATTTACTCAAATTGCTCAACGTTAAAGAGATATAGTTTACTTATGGCTAATGATGTCATTACTCCTTGGCGTAAATTGTATGGTGTGAAATGAATTCACTTGATTACTCTATAGGGTATTCTGACGTTTAGCTCTCGATACTCAGTGTAATTGTATTATGACATCTATGTGTTAAACATAAATAATTCTGTTTAAGTAATCGAATAAAACTTCGATTTTCTGGAGAAGTTTCACGTCATCAAAATTACACTCGGAAAACGAAACTTTTATTGTGCTATGCTGAATTTTATTGAAGCACTCGAAAGAATCTCCCCAAATGTTTCTTTTTCTTGAGTTGTCAAAAACGAGTGCTCAAAATTGGATGGCTGCTATATAGAAACTCGAAGTAAGGAGAGAACGAATAAAAAAATATACATTTGAAATTTTCCACCGTTCATTTCGTCTGTCGATTTATTAATAATCAACTGTGAATGTATCTATGCGCTATCTCTTGGTATTATCAGGTTTTAAAATGATGATCAAATCTTTTTACAGCTGGGACAGTCATTCCTTCTTTCCTGTTCCATTATTTTTTGTCTATACTGTTAGACTTAAGTTGTTTTGAATAGATAACATGGGACTTCATTTTTGCAAATAATGCAAGTTTTATTGATGGTCATGCTATTTAATGACAATATCCCAGGTCGATCATTACGATCTCCGTATACGGTCGTTTACTATCGTATACGACGCCGTATACGATCGGATACATATTATATACGCTCCGTATACGACCGTATTTCTCCGTAATACATGAGGCCGTATTACGACCGTATATTGCCGTGGACTGTATACGGAGAAATACGGCGAGATACGGAGACCGTATACGGAGCGTTTAGGCTCGTAAACGACCGTATTTCCACCGTATACGGTCGTAAAAGATCGTGTTTTGCCGTGTGTGTGGGGAAAAATATCGACCCTTTTACCTTTAGTTACACGTACATCAGTGATATTTTCACTAAGACGTATGCCTACGTATTTATCTATTCATCTACCTATCTATGTATCTACCTACCTATCTATCTATCTACCTCTACCTATCTATCTATCTATCTATCTACC